TCCTTCAAAAGATCGGATGAAATTTAAAGATGACATTCTGTCTGATCTCCTGTCAGGACTTGAGGCGCCATCTGTGCGGAAATCTCTGTCATTTCCAAATCTTCATGAAAATTGTCTTACAAATGTTTAATGTCATCCGCTTCTGCAGATTCCTGTCACTCATTTCCCAAAGACTGTGCGAGAGTACCTAGAAGAAGTGATGCTAGAAAGCATTCTCCCCGGACCCCGCATTCCCTACATTCACCCTCCCCGGACCCCGCATTCAGTATATCCGCCCTCCCCCCGACCCCGCATTCAGTATATCTGCCCTCCCCGGACCCCGCATTCAGTATATCCGCCCTCCCCGGACCCCGCATTCAGTATATCCGCCCTCCCCGGACCCCACATTCAGTATATCCGCCCTCCCGGACCCCGCATTCAGTATATCCGCCCTCCCCGGACCCCGCATTCAGTATATCCGCCTCCCCGGACCCCGCATTCAGTATATCCGCCCTCCCCGGACCCCGCATTCAGTATATCCGCCCTCCCCGGACCCCACATTCCCTACATCTACCCTCCCCAGACCCCGCATTCACTATATCCGCTCTCCCCGGACCCCGCATTCAGTATATCCGCCCTCCCCGGACCCCGCATTCCCTACATCCACCTTCCCCGGACCCCACATTCCCTACATCTACCCTCCCCGGACCCCACATTCAGTATATCCGCCCTCCCCGGACCCCGCATTCCCTACATCCACCCTCCCCCGGACCCCGCATTCACTATATCCGCTCTCCCCGGACCCCGCATTTCACTATATATCCGCTCTCCCCGGACCCCGCATTCACTATATCCGCTCTCCCCGGACCCCGCATTCACTATATCCGCTCTCCCCGGACCCCGCATTCACTATATCCGCTCTCCCCGGACCCCGCATTCACTATATCCGCTCTCCCCGGACCCCGCATTCACTATATCCGCTCTCCCCGGACCCCGCATTCAGTATATCCGCCCTCCCCCGGACCCCGCATTCAGTATATATCCGCCCTCCCCGGACCCCGCATTCAGTATATCCGCCCTCCCCGGACCCCGCATTCAGTATATCCGCCCTCCCCGGACCCCGCATTCACTATATCCGCCCTCCCCGGACCCCACATTCCCTACATCTACCCTCCCCGGACCCCGCATTCCCTACATCCACCCTCCCCAGACCCCGCATTCACTATATCCGCTCTCCCCGGACCCCGCATTTCAGTATATCCGCCCTCCCCGGACCCCGCATTCCCTACATCCACCTTCCCCGGACCCCACATTCCCTACATCTACCCTCCCCGGACCCCACATTCAGTATATCCGCCCTCCCCGGACCCCGCATTCCCTACATCCACCCTCCCCGGACCCCGCATTCACTATATCCGCTCTCCCCGGACCCCGCATTCAGTATATCCGCCCTCCCCGGACCCCGCATTCCCTACATCCACCTTCCCCGGACCCCACATTCCCTACATCTACCCTCCCCGGACCCCACATTCAGTATATCCGCCCTCCCCGGACCCCGCATTCCCTACATCCACCCTCCCCGGACCCCGCATTCACTATATCCGCTCTCCCCGGACCCCGCATTCACTATATCCGCTCTCCCCGGACCCCGCATTCACTATATCCACTCTCCCCGGACCCCGCATTCACTATATCCGCTCTCCCCGGACCCCGCATTCACTATATCCGCTCTCCCCGGACCCCGCATTCACTATATCCGCTCTCCCCGGACCCCGCATTCACTATATCCGCTCTCCCCGGACCCCGCATTTACTATATCCGCTCTCCCCGGACTCCGCATTCACTGTATCCGCTCTCCCCGTACCCCGCATTCACTATATCCGCTCTCCCGGGACCCCGCATTCACTGTATCCGCTCTCCCCGGACCCTGCATTCACTATATCCGCTCTCCCTGGACCCCGCATTCACTATATCCGCTCTCCCCGGACCCCGCATTCACTATATCCGCTCTCCCCGGACCCCGCATTCACTATATCCACTCTCCCCGGACCCTGCATTCACTATATCCGCTCTCCACAGACCCCGCATTCACTATATTACCTCTCCCCGGACCCCGCATTCACTATATCCGCTCTCCCCGGACCCCGCATTAACTATATCTGCTCTCCCTGGACCCCGCATTCACTATATCCGCTCTCCACAGACCCCGCATTCACTATATTACCTCTCCCCAGACCCCGCATTCACTATATCCGCTCTCCCCGGACCCCCGCACTCACTAGATCCTCTCTCCCCCCGGACCCCGCATTCACTATATCCGCTCTCCCCGGACCCCGCATTCACTATATCCGCTCTCCCCGGACCCCGCATTCACTATATCCGCTCTCCTCGGACCCCGCATTCACTATATCCGCTCTCCCCGGACCCCGCATTCACTACATCCGCTCTCCCCGGACCCCGCATTCACTATATCCGCTCTCCCCGGACCCCGCATTCACTATATCCGCTCTCCTCGGACCCCGCATTCACTATATCCGCTCTCCCCGGACCCCGCATTCACTACATCCGCTCTCCCCGGACCCCGCATTCACTATATCCGCTCTCCCCGGACCCCGCATTCACTATATCCGCTCTCCCCGGACCCCGCATTCACTATATCCGCTCTCCCCGGACCCCGCATTCACTATATCCGCTCTCCCCGGACCCCGCATTCACTATATCTGCTCTCCCTGGACCCCGCATTCACTATATCCGCTCTCCCCGGACCCTGCATTCACTATATCCGCTCTCCACAGACCCCGCATTCACTATATTACCTCTCCCCGGACCCCGCATTCACTATATCCGCTCTCCCCGGACCCCCGCACTCACTAGATCCGCTCTCCCCGGACCCCGCATTCACTATATCCGCTCTCCCCGGACCCCGCATTCACTATATCCGCTCTCTTCATGGACCCCGCATTCACTATATCCGCTCTCCTCGGACCCCGCATTCACTATATCCGCTCTCCCCGGACCCCGCATTCACTATATCCGCTCTCCCCGGACCCCGCATTCACTATATCTGCTCTCCCCAGACCCCGCATTCACTGTATCCGCTCTCCCCGGACCCCGCATTCACTATATCCGCTCTCCCCAGACCCCGCATTCACTGTATCCGCTCTCCCCGGACCCCGCACTCACTAGATCCGCTCTCCCCGGACCCCGCATTCACTATATCCGCTCTCCCCAGACCCCGCATTCACTGTATCCGCTCTCCCCGGACCCCGCATTCACTATATCCGCTCTCCCCAGACCCCACATTCACTGTATCCGATCTCCCCGGACCCCGCATTCACTATATCCGATCTCCCCGGACCCCGCATTCACTATATCCGCTCTCCCCGGACCCTGCATTCACTATATCCGCTCTCCCCGGACCCCGCATTCACTATATCCGCTCTCTCTGTATCAATCCCCTTTCACCAGACGTCATGGAAAACGCCAAGCGGTATGTTGCCACATTCCTTCAACCAGTAGATGCTGCTTCGTGATTGGAGCCCTGCATGTTGATGGACCCATAGCCTTCTCCAGTCTTATTCATTTTTGTGTAACCTGCGGGCAACAGTGCATGTGACAGTGATCATATGTGTACTGCTCAAGACCCGGGAACTCGGCACAGGGACGGTGGAAACCCCTCATAATGGGCACAGCGGGTGGACAGACCTGGGAACTCAGCACAGGGATTGTGGGAACCCCTCATAATGGGCACAGCGGGTGGACAGACCCAGAAACTAAGCACAGGGATGGTGGTAACCCCTCATAATGGGCACGGAAGGTGTACAGACCCGGGAACTCAGCACAGGGATGGTGGGAACCTCTCATAATGGGCACAGAAGGTGTACAGACCCGGGAACTAAGCACAGGGATGGTGGTAACCCCTCATAATGGGCACAGAAGGTGTACAGACCCGGGAACTAAGCACAGGGATGGTGGGAACCCCTCATAATGGGCACAGAAGGTGTACAGACCCGGGAACTAAGCACAGGGATGGTGGGAACCCTTCATAATGGCCCAGGAAAGTGTTCATGACTGGAAATGAATTGCAGAGACTTCAGTGATAATGTCCCTCTGGGGGGGGGGGGGGTTAGGTCTCCACCATCCGCCAGACCCAAGCATGAAATAGATGAACCCTTTCTGGCAATGGATATCAATGATGGTGGTGCCCCCTCCTCACCTCTACATGAAGGACACCATTACTTTGGTGACACAGATGAAGATGAAGGATGGGCATTAATCCTCCTGCCAATATTATTCCTCTATAACCGATTAGATATATTAAACAAACACAGCTCAGATACACAATGTATATTCATTTCCGCTGTCCCCCTGACCTCCAGATCCTCAACCCCCCCACCCAAACACCCATCCCCCCCCCCCAGCCGCCGTACATCCCTCACCTTACACCGACCCACACTTTGCTCCGCATAGACAGGAGCTGGCACAGCAAGCTGACAGAATCCTGGCACTCTCTCCTCTCCTTGCTTCTCCCTGTCCATCCAGCCAAACTGGACCCCGGCCCATCGGAAAAAATACACTTTTAATAAATGTGTCAGTTGAAGACCGTTGCAGTGTGGCTGCAGAGAGCGATGCAGAACATCTGCTATTATTTATGACGAATAAAAGTAGAAGGATACCGGAAAGGGTGGGGGAGTAGGAAGCGTTGGGTGAGAGGTCTGTACAGGAATTGTGGATGTACAGGACAGGAGAGATGGCTTCTCAGACATCACCTAAGGGTGGACAGAGTAGAAAATACAGTAGCTGGACAGACTGGAGTAGGGAGTTCCAGAGGATGGCAGAGGGCTCTGGAGAAATCCTGGAGGTGAGCGTGGGAGGTGATGACGAAGGAGCTAGAGAGCAGGAGGTCTCGGGAGGAGCAGAGAAGACCATTTGGGTAATGATGGGTTTGTGAAGAGGTCGGTGATGTAGTTTAGGGCAGGGTTATGGACGTTTTTAGTATTTTGATTTTTATATGTTGGGTGAGTAGAGACCAGTGGAGGGATTGGCAGAGAGGGGTGGAGGACACTGAGTGGAGGCCAGTGGAGGGATTGGCAGAGAGGGGTGGAGGACACTGAGTGGAGGCCAGTGGAGGGATTGGCAGAAAGGAGTGGAGGACACCGAGTGGAGGCCAGTGGAGGGATTGGCAGGGAGGGGTGGAGGACACTGAGTGGAGGCCAGTGGAGGGATTGGCAGAGAGGGGTGGAGGACACTGAGTGGAGGCCAGTGGTGGGATTGGCAGAGAGGGGTGGAGGACACTGAATGGAGGCCAGTGGAGGGATTGGCAGAGAGGGGTGGAGGACACTGAGTGGAGGCCAGTGGAGGGATTGGGAGGGAGGAGTGGAGGACACTGAGTGGAAGCCAATGGAGGGATTGGCAGAGAGGGGAGAGTACACTGAGTGGAAGCCAATGGAGGGATTGGCAGAGAGGGGTGGAGGACACTGAGTGGAGGCCAGGGGAGGGATTGGTGGAGAGGGGTGGAAGAAAATGAGTGGAGGCCAGTGTAGGGATTGGCAGAGATAGGTGGAGGACACTGAATGGAGGCCAATGGAGGAATTGGCAGAGAATGGTAGAGGACACTGAGTGGAAGCTAGGGGATAAATTGGCCAAGAGGGGTGGAGGACATCAAGTGGAGTGGCCAGTAGAGGGATTAGCAGAGAGGAGTGGGGGACACTAAGCAGTTGGTAAGTTAGTGGGAGTAGAATCCATGAGTCTGTCACGAGGAGGGGATACCCCTCATAACCGCATTCCAATGAGGAGGAAAATAATAAGGGAGTGAATCAGTAGCTTTGTGGTGTCATTGGGTATGAAGGGTGTATTTTGGAAATGTTAAGGAAGTTAAGGTGGAAGGATTTGGACAGTGATTGGATGTTGAGCCTTAAGAAGAGTCCACAATTACATTTACACCCTGGCATGAGGGAAGGAACTGATAGCTGTGATAGATGGTTGTGCCATTGATCTCTTTGGAAAGTCAGGGGAGGAAATATGAGTTTGGTTTTTGGTTTGGTTTTGGTTTGCCATCCATACTAATATGTCCGATAGTAAATAAGTGATGCATGTGGAGACTAAAGGGGTGAGCTGAGGGGTAAAAAAATACATCTGGATGTCCTCAACATTGAGATGTTTTTGGAAGCCTTTAGTGGCTATCAGCTGACCCAGGGAGGAGATGTAGGAAGAGAATAGTAGAGGGCCAAGGACAGAGCCATGGGGGACCTCTACAGAAAGAGGAAAAGGAGAGGAGAAAGTCGAGGTGAGTAAGACGGGTAGAAGTGGACCCAACAGAGAGAAGAGTCTCGGAAGCCAAGGAAGTGGAATGTTTTTAGGAGCAGTGGGTGGTCAACCATGTCAAAGACAGAAGAAGCGTATGAGTATGGAGTAGTGGCCATTGGTTTTAGCAGATAATCATTAGTGAGTTTTTGTAGGACAGTTGTTTTGCACTGTTGTGGGCAAAAGCCAGACAACAAGGTTTTTATCAGTGGAGTGGCAGCTCAGGCACTTGTAGACTAGGTGTTCTCGGAGAAAACAGGAGCAAGGAGCTGGGTCTTAGGTTGCTCACCCTGGTGGAGTCTAGAAAGGACTTTCTCGGAAAGAATGAGATCATTTTACGTTTTAGAGGGTTGGGAAAGATGCCAGCAGAGAGGAGATTGACGATGTGAGTTAGACATTGTAGCATAGAGCGAGAGGATGATTGTAGTAGTTACGAGGGAATGAGGTCCAGAGAGTAGGTGGTAAGGGGGGCATCAGAAAAACGTTTACCAATGTCCTCCGTGGTGTCAATGTCAAAAGAGGAATATACTGAATGTGGTGGTAGACATGGGATGTGAGCTGGAGGAGATGACTGGACAGTGAAGATCTCATAACAATTTTTTTTCAGTCTTGTTTTTGAAGTGATTGGCAATCTCCTAACGGTGAATGAGTTAGAGGATGGAGGTGGTGAAGGACTACGAGGAGAAATAATTCTCATCTCCCCACAACTAATATTCTGGATCATATGAGGGATTAACCATATTCTCTCTGGTCTAAGCAATGACAAACGACTGAAAACAGGCTGGTGCCTCCAGCATGGGATGACCTCTACCTCCCCCCCGGAAAAGTCTGCAGTCACAAGGTCTGGAGAACTGATTTGATGGCATATGATAGTTGTCCACTCTAATCTGCGGGAGCTTGAAGGGTCTTGTCAAAGATTCATTAACAGCTGTATTCTAATTCTAAACTGTGAACGTTCGGTCCATAGTACTGACCACCTAATAATGCACATGTGTGATGTGATTGTAATTCCTTCTGTATCGCATGTTATAGGATCAGTAGAGGAGGAATATAGATATACAGGACGGAATGGGGGGGCAGTGACAGCGCTGTGTGAGGGGTCAGTACAGGAATATAGATATACAGGACGGGATGGGGGTGCGGTGACAGCACTGTGTGAGGGGTCAGTACAGGACGAGATGGGGGTGCAGTGACAGCGCTGTGCGAGGGGTCAGTACAGGAATATAGATATACAGGATGGGATGGGGGTGCAGTGACAGCGCTGTGTGAGGGGTCAGTACAGGAATATAGATATACAGGACGGGATGGGGGTGCAGTGACAGCGCTGTGCGAGGGGTCAGTACAGGACGAGATGGGGGTGCAGTGACAGCGCTGTGTGAGGGGTCAGTACAGGACGAGATGGGGGTGCAGTGACAGCGCTGTGCGAGGGGTCAGTACAGGAATATAGATATACAGGATGGGAGGGGGTGCAGTGACAGCGCTGTGTGAGGGGTCAGTACAGGAATATAGATATACAGGACGGGATGGGGGGGCAGTGACAGCGCTGTGTGAGGGGCAGTACAGGAATATAGATATACAGGACGGGATGGGGGTGTGCGGTGACAGCGCTGTGTGAGGGGTCAGTACAGGAATACGGATATACAGGACGGGATGGAGGTGCAGTGACAGAGCTGTGTGAGGGGTCAGTACAGGAATATAGATATACAGGACGGGATGGGGGGGGCAGTGACAGCGCTGTATGAGGGGCAGTACAGGAATATAGATATACTGGACGGGATGGGGGTGCGGTGACAGCGCTGTGTGAGGGGTCAGTACAGGAATATAGATATACAGGACGGGATGGGGGTGCAGTGACAGCGCTGTGCGAGGGGTCATTACAGGACGGGATGGAGGTGCGGTGACAGCGCTGTGTGAGGGGTCAGTACAGGACGGGATGGAGGTGCGGTGACAGCGCTGTGTGAGGGGTCAGTACAGGAATATAGATATACAGGACGGGATGGGGGGGGGGGGGGGGGGCAGTGACAGCGCTGAGCGAGGGGTCAGTACAGGAATATAGATATACAGGACGGGATGGAGGTGTGGTGACAGCGCTGTGTGAGGGGTCAGTACAGGAATATAGATATACAGGACAGGATGGGGGGGCAGTGACAGCGCTGTGCGAGGGGTCATTACAGGAATATAGATATACAGGATGGGATGGGGGGGCAGTGACAGCGCTGTGTGAGGGGTCAGTACAGGAATATAGATATACAGGACGGGATGGGGGTGCGGTGCGGTGACAGCGCTGTGTGAGGGCTCAGTACAGGAATATAGATATACAGGACAGGATGGGGGGGCAGTGACAGCGCTGTGCGAGGGGTCAGTACAGGAATATAGATATACAGGACGGGATGGGGGTCCGGTGACAGCGCTGTGTGAGGGGTCAGTACAGGACGGGATGGGGGTCCAGTGACAGCGCTGTGTGAGGGGTCAGTACAGATGTGGATGGGGGTCCGGTGACAGCGCTGTGTGAGGGGTCAGTACAGGTGTGGATGGGGGTCCGGTGACAGCGCTGTGTGAGGGGTCAGTACAGGGCGGGATGGGGGTCCAGTGATAGCACTGTGTGAGGGGTCAGTACAGATGTGGATGGGGGTCCGGTGACAGCGCTGTGTGAGGGGTCAGTACAAGACAGAATGGGGGTCCGGTGACAGCGCTGTGCGGGGGTCAGTACAGCGTTGTGTGAGGGGTCAGTACAGGTGTGGATGGGGGTCCGGTGACAGCGCTGTGTGAGGGGTCAGTACAGGTGTGGATGGGGCTCAGTACAGCTCTGTGTGAGGGGTCAGTACAGCGCTGTGTGAGGGGTCAGTACAGGACGGGATGGGGGTCAGTACGGATGTGGATGGGAGTCAGTACAGCGCTGTGTGAGATTATCAGTACAGGACAGGATGGGGGTCCGGTGACAGCGCTGTGAGAGGGGTCAGTACAGGACAGGATGGGGGTCCGGTGACAGCGCTGTGTGAGGGGTCAGTACAGCGCTGTGTGAGGGGTCAGTTCAGGACGGGATGGGGGTCAGTACGGATGTGGATAGGAGTCAGTACAGTGCTGTGTGAGGGGTCAGTACAGCGCTGTGTGAGGGGTCAGTACAGCGCTGTGTGAGGGGTCAGTACAGGTGTGGATGGGACAGCACCATAGACCGCCATGTATAAATGGCACTTTCTGGTCCCTGGTCCCGGGACTGCCACCCGAGGTCACTGGATAACGGGAGGAATGAATGGAGGGAACATTCATCAGTCTGATCTCCCGTGTGTGTGGAGGAGGGGGGGGGGGGGGTGTTGTGGAGGACGAGGAGGAGGAGGAGCGGGACGCTGGAAGGAGAAGACAAGACGGGGACACATTAGACGCGCTGAGCCGAGCTTTGCTGAGCGTTCGTTGGAAGACAAAGCGAATCCCGAACCCGATGATACGGAGGAGAAGCCACACACCATGAATGCCCGGACTTTGTGACCGAACATCCACCATGACCACCACTGACCGGACACCGGGACCCCAACACACGGAGACCTGAACCCACCCGGGGAGAAGATCGGCTGCAGGGACTCGCAGAGCGATGAGGAGATATGGGGACCCATGACAGGTGACACGCTGGGCACTTGCTGGATCGGACACAGTGATGGCCGCACTCGCTAGTTCATTGATTCGGCAAAAGAGAGAAATCCGAGATTCGGGAGGATCCCGCCCCGCACCCCCCCAGAGGAAAGTCTGTCCCCGAGGAACCAAATCCCTGTGTCAGAAACAGCTGCTGTTCCTGGTCTCCAAAGTTCGACTCTGCAGCCAGAGGGGGGCTCTGGACAAAGACCCCGGTGAGATATTGTCCTCCATGTGAACCATCATGACCCCTCGCACAGCGCTGTCACCGGACCCCCATCCTGTCCTGTACTGACTCCCCACACAGCGCTGTCACCGGACCCCCATTCTGTCCTGTACTGACCCCTCGCACAGCGCTGTCACCGGACCCCCATCCTGTCCTGTACTGACCCCTCGCACAGCGCTGTCACCGGACCCCCATCCTGTCCTGTACTGACCCCCCACACAGCGCTGTCACCGGACCCCCATCCTGTCCTGTACTGACCCCCCACACAGCGCTGTCACCGGACCCCCATCCTGTCCTGTACTGACCCCCCACACAGCGCTGTCACCGGACCCCCATCCTGTCCTGTACTGACCCCTCGCACAGCGCTGTCACCGGACCCCATTCTGTCCTGTACTGATCCCTCGCACAGCGCTGTCACCGGACCCCCATCCTGTCCTGTACTGATCCCTCGCACAGCGCTGTCACCGGACCCCCATTCTGTCCTGTACTGACCCCCCACACAGCGCTGTCACCGGACCCCCATCCTGTCCTGTACTGACCCCTCGCACAGCGCTGTCACCGGACCCCCATCCTGTCCTGTACTGACCCCCCACACAGCGCTGTCACCGGACCCCCATTCTGTCCTGTACTGACCCCTCGCACAGCGCTGTCACCGGACCCCCATCCTGTCCTGTACTGACCCCCCACACAGCGCTGTCACCGGACCCCCATCCTGTCCTGTACTGACCCCTCGCACAGCGCTGTCACCGGACCCCTATCCACACCTGTACTGACCCCTCGCACAGCGCTGTCACCGGACCCCCATCCCAACCTGTACTGACCCCCCACACAGCGCTGTCACCGGACCCCCATCCTGTCCTGTACTGACTCCTC